TACTATTGAATTGCTTGATGAAGCATTTGTCTGAGACTCAGCTTGGATTGTACAATTTGACACACCAGATTTAAATTTGCAGGGAAACACACTCTCATCATGAACCACATGTCTTGTTATCAATAGCTTCTGAATTTGTTCATGATAACATATAACACCCTTATATCCTAGTGCATAGCCAACAAAAACACACAGCGATGCTCTTGGTTGCAACTTGTTATTATTATAAGGCCTGATGTAAGGATATACAGCAGTGCCAAATATTTTCAAGTTTTGAAGTTGAGGTTTAACCCTAAATAACAACTGATAAGGAAACTTCATTCCCAAAGTCCTATATGGCATCCTATTTATTAAAAATACAGAGTGAGCACAAGCATGAAACCACAAGGTTTGAGGTAACTGAGCAGTTGTCATCAGAGTTATAGCTGTTTCTATGATATGTCTATGCTTTCTTTCAACAATTCCATTTTGCTGAGGTGTGTATGGACATGAGACCATATGAAAAATTCCCTTAGTTTGTAGAAAACCCTCAAACTGTTTACTACTAAACTCTCCACCCCTATCTGTTTGCAAGCATTTAATTCTAACAACAAACTGAGTATAAATGAAATGATAGAAATTCTGAAAGATATCAAACACTTATGATTTATTTATTAAGGGAAAAATACATAAATGTCTTGTAAACTCATCCACAAAACTCACATAATATCTAAACCCTTCTACTTACTTAGTTGGTGAAGGACCCCAGAGATCCGAATGAACTTTTTGAAATGGAAAACTACATTGTTCTTTCTTATCTAAGAAAGGTTGTCTAGACATTTTCCCAAATATACAATAGGAACATACATGTGGATCATCAGAAGCACTAACTATATCGGATTGCTGCAACATAACAGAGAGAACTTCATTACTAGGATGGCCCATTCTTTGATGCCACACTGTTGACTTAACCTTCTGACTAAGCAAAGCAGTTGACTTTTGAGCTGGAGAAACTAAATTCTTTGAAAACATCTTGATCGGAATCTAAAACAACTCGCCATCATTGCTCCTTCCGTGGTATATTACAGCCTTGGTTACCTTGTCCTGCACATAGAAATTAGTATCATCACAGATGAACCAGCAATAGTTGTCTTTACACATTTGTTTGACAGATAAAAGACTAACAACAATAGTTGGAACATGTAAGACATTTCTCAGAAGTAATGAATGAGGTAATGTTTTCAACCATGTAGAACTAATATGTTTGATTTGCAAACCTTCACCTTCACCATTGCCAATTGTTATTTTATCATTGCCCTCATATAGAGAAACCTACTGCAAGGAATGGAGATCTGCTGTCATGTAATGTGATGCTCTAGTGTCAATGATCCATGAATCATTGGGAAGGAAGTTGGCATGAGCTTGAGCTTGCATGGTAGTTAACGTAGGAACAGGTGCAGAACCTTGATAGGCAAAATTGTTCTTATGATGACAATCTAATGCATTGTGTCCTCGCTTGCCACAAATCTAACACTTAAGAATTGATCCATTTGAACTCGGATTGGTAGACCTTTTCCAGCAATTTGGAGCTGTATGCCCCATCTTGGAACATATCTGACATTCAGGGACAATATTCAGCCTAGTTTCAGTTTTTCCAAACCATGACTGCCAACTTCCACCATTCTGTCGCCTGATGTACTCCCACGATTACCACCATAGTTTGATGATCTAAAATTACCATTACCATTTGGTTTTGTACCATAGACATTTCTTGTACCAGTATTGGAATTAGGATATTGTCTCTGTGCATTAGTATTCCCAACAAAGCCATATGCATTAGAAAAATCAGGATAGAATAGAGGTTGAGGATGTATTATAGGAAATTGATTACTTGGAAATAGTGATGCATTAGAAAAATCAGGATACACTGGAGGTTAAGGCTGCATCCTAGGATACTGAGTACTAGGAAATGGTGATGGATATTGAATATGAGAAACTGGCATTGGTGGTGATGGATGCATTACAGAATTAGATGATGATGCTCCCTGATTTGGTACTCCAAAAGATGAAGCTGCATTTGGAATCCGTGTAAGAATCCATCAAGTACTATACACAACCTCATTAGAATTACTTGATGACCCCTGAGCCATTGTAGATTGTGAAGAAGAAGCAACATTCCTTTGCACATACATTCTAGAAAAATTTTGAGATAAACCACTCACCACAGACTCAGCCTCCCTTTCTGCACATAGTAACTGCTATCTAAATTCCCTTAAGGACATAGTGGTGTCTCTTGTGTAAATCACTGTTTTAATCACAAAATATTCCCTCGGTAAACTAGACAAAGTAGCGACAATGAAATCATTATTAGTTACAGATTCTCCCGCAACAATTAACTGATTTTTAATATTTCTAAGTTTAGGCAGATATTGATCAATAGAGTCACTACCCTTCTGCGTGGTCTGAAATTCAGTCTTTAACGTATTCACCCTTGCTTTAGAAACAGAAGCATACCTATCTTGAAGATTAGTCCAGGCCTCATGAGCAGTCCTAGATCCCAAAACATGCTCAATAAACTTATCAGTCAACATAGCAATTAACAAACTCAAGAGAGCAAGATCAACAGCTTCCCATTCTGTATATGGCTAAGAAATTTCATTTGTAACACTACGATCAGTGCTAACCACAAATTTTGGTGAAGATGGAAGTGACCCATTAAAGTGATCAAACAACTTATATTCTTTGAGAACAGATTTGAATTGAAACACCCATTTCAAAAAGCTCTTGTCATTCAACTTAATTGTCAACATTCCCAAAAGCCCTTCAATTTTTACGGATGAAGATGCCATCACTATTGGCTAGATTAACAGTCTTATCAAGAAACAACTATCTCCTCAACACTTCAAGAAGAACAAAGTAACAAGAAACGCTTCAAATTTCAACTAACAATGGTCACGAAAATTCAACTATTCGTCACAAACATTCACAGAAATGACTTCGTGCCCTCAAATTTCAACAACTTTTCAAAGAAATTCACAGAAATGGCTTCGTGCCTAACAATACAACCAATCTTGAAATGACTTTGTACCACAAACAAACAGTAATGGCTTCGTGCCGCAAACAAATTAGATCTACTACTCCACAGAATTAAAGCGTGATAGAGAATCGAAACAATAACCTGATTCGCATCGACAATGAAGATGCACCAACTCAAAATTCCAGAAAAAACCCCAATACGCCGACGAACCCCAAGAAGATCAAACCTTCAGCACCGATAAACCTGAGATACCTAGCCCACATCAGAACCTATGGCTCTTGATACCATATTAACACTATGAATCTGATGAAGAAATGAAGAAATATGTATAAAGGTTTACAGAAAGAATAGCAAAGAGAAAGAGGAAGAGAGAGAGAAATGTAGAGACTTTTCAGATTACTTCATGAAGTCTTAATGCTTACAAGCTATGCTATATATAGCATTTTACACTTGTCAGCTCATCTTTATCCACCTAACTAACTTTTAACCATTCAACTAACTACCAACAATTCTCAACTGTATTTAGCTGACATGGCACACATCCTTATTTTACTAATAACATGTGTCTACACTTATCACTCGTCTCCTTCCACGTCTGCTCCTTCAGCTCCTTCCTCTTCTCCAGCCTCATCGCCACGGCCTCAGGCAGGCATCCGGATCACCCACAACCCGTCCTATCACCCGCCCGCCGAGATTCTAGCCCGGGTCAGCAATAGCTCTGTCCCCCGGATCGGGATGCTAGTCTCGAGTCTCGGTTCGGTTGCCAGGTGCGTGTTCGTGATGCTGGCTCTCATCAACGTGCTGCAGATCAACTCGGGATTTTGGCTTGCGGCAGCTCCCACACTCTCGCCGCCGTCGTCCCGCTCGTCATCTTCGTCCCTGTGCGCTGCACATCTACGTTTGCACAGTTTTGTAAGCATTTACGCTAAATTTTTGTATGTTAGTTCTAATTTGATGTATTTGAATGTTTGATTTGGATTAATCCTGAGATTTAAGTTCTTAAATTCGATTAAAACATATAATTCCTTGATCTTCGTTCACATTAGTAGTGGCACAAGTGGGAAATCAAATTGATTAGTGCTCCACAATTTGGGTGAAATGGGAATTTGGGGATGAGTGGTAGTACACGTGGGTTAGCAAGTGCTAATATTCTAGTGAATTTGTTCATGTTACCAATTATTCCTTTTGCTCTGTTTTGGATTAGTCATGCTGTGTCCATCATGACTTCATGAGTGTGGAACGGCCAATCAGGCACCCACATCCGAGATGTTATTGTGTGTTAATTGTGTTAGTTTGTAATACCCTTGCGCGTCTTCTATTTCGTTCTAAGCAGGGTGGGGAGGTTGTCATCAGAGGAATATTAGGGTATATTTGGTATCCTATTTGAATTTTTTTTTATCATTTCTCAAAACATTTCTTAAGAACATTTCTTGAAAATAATTTTATTTAAGACTTAAAAACTTGATTGGTTTGTGATTTAAAAATTTTAAATCTTACGACTTAAAATAGACAAAGAGATCTAAAAAGAGGGGTCGTAGGAGAGGGAGAAAGAGGAGAGAAGAGGAAAGAAAGTAAGAGATGATTGAATGAAAGAGAAAGAAGAGAGAGGATCAGACGAGATAGAGAGGAAAAAGAGTGAGAGAAAGAAGCGAAAGAATGAAGAGAGCAGATTGGAGAAGAGATGAAAAAGGAAAAAAAAAAAAAAAGAGAGAAAGAAGAAAAGAGAGAGATAGATTTGGAGTGAGAGTGGAAGAGGGAGAGAAAAGAAAAGAGTGAGTTTAAGTTTAAAAACTCTAAAAACTCACTTTTTATGTTTTTAGAGAATAAACTATATTTTTTAGTTAGTCTTGAGTTCAGTTTTTGAAAATAGTCATACCAAACAAGTTTTTAAGGCCTAAAACTTGAAAATTGTTTTTGAGTTTAAAAAGTTGGATTCAAGTAAAGTACCAAACAAACCCTTAGTTGCTTGATGATTTCTGTTGAGTGGGTGATTATGGTTGGGTAGTTCAATACTTAACCGTGCTTTAGCGGTTTTTCTTCAGTGCAAATGCACCGCAGTCTTTCACACCATCCCACTACTTGCTTTGCTCTTTAGAAGTGGTAGCTTGGATCTCTGGACTGGTTTAACACTGATTGAACGTAGTGTGCAAAGAAGCACCAAAGAAAAACCGATGATGTACAGGGTATCGGTCTAATTCTTATAGGTCTAATTAGTCTAGAGAAACAGATTGAGGTAGGAATAGGATGTAGTGGTGGAGATTTGTGAGATTGATTGCTGCTGTGTTATCTGTTGCAAAAGAAATTCCCTTGTGCGCCTCTTCTCTGAAATGACAAAAGTAATGGAATGGTGGCAAGCACTTTAGTTAGAGGTGATAATTTTCATTGGCCTAAAGTCGCCAGGTAATCGAGATCCATTTCTGAAGGAGTAGGTGCGGCAATAAACAAAGCATGCCTCCTTCCAGTGCTACCTCCACTATGCCTTGTGGGTTTCGTCTTTCGGTAACTAATCAAGTGTCTTTTGAGCTGCCTATTGCTGTATAAAAGCAGGAAGTCGAGAAGTGTTTTCTGCACTGAATTGAAGAAATGGAAGCTCCAATGAAGTACATTTGCCTCATGGTGTTTCTTGCAATTCTCGGCATAAGTCAGTTTAATGGGGCATATGGGGCTGGTGAGTGTGGAAAATCTAGTCCTGATAGCGAAGCTTTGAAGCTGGCTCCCTGTGCATCAGCAGCACAGGATGAAAAGGCTCCAGTTTCCGCTAGTTGCTGTAGCCAGGTAAAAAGGATAGGCCAGAACCCTAGCTGCCTCTGTGCCGTGATGCTTTCAAATACTGCTAAGATGTCGGGAGTGAAACCAGAAATTGCTGTTACCATTCCAAAACGTTGTAACATTGCTGATCGTCCCGTGGGTTTCAAGTGTGGAGGTTTGTTTTTAACAACTCAATTGTTTCTAAATGCCTCCTCAACATACATTTGCAGTTTTATTAACACTACCTGTTCTTATTTCAGCTTATACACTGCCCTGAAGACGCTGAAGTCGCTGATGGTGCCTGGTACAAGGACTGTGAACGAGTACTGGAGATTGTATCTCATTATCTCTGTAACTAGGTTTCATCTAGCGTTTCACTGTGACATGTTGATCCAGATACCCTAAATAATAAATAAATTGTTGATGTTTTAACCGTCTTTAAGAATTTACTTCGTGTTATCCTTATTGATGTTAACCATGGCTGCTTACATCCATAACCAAAAAGGAAAGTAAAGATGAAAGGGGTATCTCAATTGCTTCTTAGCTTCAACTCCTGCTTATATTCATATTCAATTGCTAAGAATGTTAGAACTTGTACGTGAGAAGTGAATCAAACACCTAATGAAGACATGAAATAACATTACTTTAAAGAGATATAATATAAAGAAGATTATACATGTTGATCAATGTATAATATAAGGTGAGAAAACTATAAGTATTGTACAAATTAATATAGAGAACGGTTATAAGGAAGTGGAAAACTGAAAGTAACTGCAACCATGATAGGAGGGGCAGTTACATCCTTATAACTAGGGTTTTGATCCCTTTTCTCAGATATATATGGATCTCTTAATGCTAATGTTGGATCTATCGAAAACAAGGAGTTCCAATCCGTTTCCAAGAGAAAGGAAGATCTCAGCCAGGTCTCTATCACCATGGCTACATCCTCAAGTAAGTTTAATGCATTCATTGTCTATCGACATAATGCATTATGCAGAAACTAGGGTTAATAACACTGCATACATACATTGCAGTACGTGGTTCAATTGCATTGTTGGATGTTCAATCTTTTTAAACATACAGATATATATATATACACTCATAAGGACTACATGTGGTATCAGAGCCAGGTTATATAATCCCACTGCGAGAAAATTAGACATGAAAACCACTAGCTGCTACTTTGTTGGTTATGCAGAAAAATCCAAAGGGTTTAGGTTTTATTGTCCTACTGCACATACAAGAATAGCTGAAAGTCATAATGCTAAGTTTATTGAAGACTTTGATTTGTCACATGAACCCCCCAAACAGTTATATGCCTTTGAAGAGCATGACGACCATTACTCTTTGTCTCAAGATTCTGGAATGGATAATAGTGTTACCATTCCCTTGTATCTATCTGGTGGTACACCATTGTCTTCAAATGTGACTGCACTTGATATCCCTACACCTAGTGCAGTAGCTACAACATTTCCCAATCCAGATACATTGGTCTTACATGATCCTATTCACTCATCTGCAGCAATAACTGAAGCACCAGAATCATCTTCACAGTTTCACGCACCCTTTCTGAGGAAATCGATGAGAACCAGAAAGTCGGCTATTCCACATGATTATTTGTGTTATCTACAAGAAGTTGAATATGATCTTGGTGATGAAGATGATCCCGTGAACTACAAACAGGCAATAGCGAGTTATAAAAGTGAATTATGGAAGGCTGCAATGACAGAAGAACTTGCTTCCATGGAAAGTAATCATGTTTGGACCTTGGTTAATGGTTTAGAATCATGTTTGGACCTTGGTTGATGGTTCAGACACCAAAAGAGCAATAGGGTGCAAATGGGTTTTTAAAACCAAGCGGGATGCTCATGGGAGGATTGAAAGGCTTAAAGCACGCCTTGTAACTAAAGGGTTTACACAAAAAGAAGGCTTGGATTACACATAAACGTTTTCTCCAGTCTCTACCAAAGACTATTTCCGAATTATCATGGCTCTTACAGCTCATTTTGACTTGGAACTTCACCAAATGGATGTCAAAACAGCTTTTCTTAATGGGAATCTTGATGAAGACATTTATATGGTACAACCTCCCGGATTTGTTGAAAGGGGGCAAGAACATCTGGTGTGCAAGCTAAATAAGTCTATCTATGGTTTAAAACAGGCTTTGCGGCAGTGGTATAAACGTTTTGATCAAGTTGTACATTCCTTTGGTTTTGTGGAGAACAAAATTGATAATTGTATCTACATGCGGCAACACAAATCTCAATTCATTTTTATGGTTTTATATGTGGATGATATATTGTTGGCAAGCTCTCATGTCCAATTAATGACTGAAACTAAGAGAATGTTGTGCAATAGTTTTGATATGAAAGATTTGGGAGAGGCTCATTATGTTTTGGGCATTGAGATTGTGAGAAACAGACAGAATGGAACCTTGGGGCTTTCTCAGAAGAACTATATTGATAGAGTGTTGAAGAGATTTAATATGGAAGCTTGCAATGCAGGTGATGTCCCTATTGGTAAAGGGATAAGTTCTCCCTCTCACAGTGTCCTCTAACTGAACATGATCATCGAGTTATGAGAGATAAACCGTATGCATCTCTAGTTGGCAGTGTCATGTATGCACAAGTTTGCACCAGACTTGATTTAGCTCTTGCATTAAGTGTACTAGGCAGGTTTTAATCAAATCCGGGTATTGCACACTGGAATGCAGGCAAAAAGGTAATGAGGTATTTGAAAAAGACACGAGATTATGTACTAAGTTATCATCGAGTTCAAAACTTGAATGTTGTCTGTTATAGTGATGCTGATTTGGGAGGATGATGCATTGATGATAAAATGTCCACAAGTGGATATATTTTCATAATGGCTGGAGGTGCAGTGTCATCGAGAAGTAGGAAGCAAACCATAAGGGCTGTTTCTACAATGGAGTCAGAATATATATAGGATGTTTTGAAGCAATGAGACATGGCATATGGTTGAGAAATTTGATCTGTGACATGAAGATAGTTAAAAGCATTGAAGAACCAATCAAGATTTATTGTGACAATACTTCAGTTGTGTTCTTTGCCAAAAACAACAGAGGTCCGAAGCTTCAAGGCTTATGGATATCAAATACTTGAAGCTCCAAGATGAAATAAGAAATGGAACTATTGATTTGGAACATATTGGCACGTTTAATATGTTTGCAGATCCATTAACCAAGGCATTACATGTGACAGCATTTCAAAGGCATCTGCCGAATATGGGACTGCATACATCTATCGATAATGTTTGAATGTGGGAGTAAGGTAATTCTCCGTACCTTTAAGTCTATATGTTTGATTAGAATGTGTGCTTATGATGAATACAAATCATATTACATAATGATGTAATGCATTTGTGAAAGTTCGATACTAATCAAACATATAATGATGTTTATAATCTTGCAGCAATAAAGAAGGAATGGCAGTTGCAGTGCCATTTCTTATACGACAAGCAATGTGGGAGTAATGCTTGTAATGAAGAGTTCTCTTGTCAGAAGTTTATTCTTACGCGTGATCTCATTAGAATGCGATCAGTTTGTGATTTTAGTACAAATGGTACAACAAATTGTATTATACTGACTAAAGTTCAACTGTTGCTTCTTTGAGTATGTTTGAAAGATTTATTTCAACTTTATCTCAATGATGACTTGCTGGTTATTTCATTTAGATGTTTTGATCATTCTCATGTGGGAGAATGTTAGAACTTGTATGTGAGAAGTGAATCAAACACCTAATGAAGACATGAAATAACATTACTTTAAAGAGATATAATATAAAGAAGATTATACATGTTGATCAATGTATAATATAAGGTGAGAAAACTATAAGTATTGTACAAATTAATATAGAGAACGGTTATAAGGAAGTGAAACTGAAAGTAACTGCAACCATGATAGGAGGGGCAGTTACATCCTTATAACTAGGGTTTTGATCCCTTTTCTCAGATATATATGGATCTCTTAATGCTAATGTTGGATCTATCGAAAACAAGGAGTTCCAATCCGTTTCCAAGAGAAAGGAAGATCTCAGCCACGTCTCTATCACCATGGCTACATCATCAAGTAAGTTTAATGCATTCATTGTCTATAAGTTTAATGCATTCATTGTCTATCGACAAAATGCATTATGCAGAAACTAGGGTTAATAACACTGCATACATACATTGCAGTACGTGGTTCAATTACATTGTTGGATGTTCAATCTTTTTAAACATACAGATATATATATATATATATACACTCATAAGGACTACATGTGGTATCAGAGCCAGGTTATATAATCCCACTGCGAGAAAATTAGACATGAAAACCACTAGCTGCTACTTTGTTGGTTATGCAGAAAAATCCAAAGGGTTTAGGTTTTATTGAAGACTTTGATTTGTCACATGAACCCCCCAAACAGTTATATGCCTTTGAAGAGCATGACGACCATTCCTCTTTGTCTCAAGATTCTGGAATGGATAATAGTGTTACCATTCCCTTGTATCTATCTGGTGGTACACCATTGTCTTCAAATGTGACTGCACTTGATATCCCTACACCTAGTGCAGTAGCTACAACATTTCCCAGTCCAGATACATTGGTCTTACATGATCCTATTCACTCATCTGCAGCAATAACTGAAGCACCAGAATCATCTTCACAGTTTCAGGCACCCTTACTGAGGAGGAAATCGATGAGAACCAGAAAGTCGGCTATTCCACATGATTATTTGTGTTATCTACAAGAAGTTGAATATGATCTTGGTGATGAAGATGATCTCGTGAATTACAAACAGGCAATGGCGAGTTATAAAAGTGAATTTATGGAAGGCTGCAATGACAGAAGAACTTGCTTCCATGGAAAGTAATCATGTTTGGACCTTGGTTGATGGTTCAGACACCAAAAAAGCAATAGGGTGCAAATGGGTTTTTAAAACCAAGCGGACCATGCCTCCATGGAGCTAAGACACAAAAGAAAGGCTCCACCAAAAGACTATTTCTAATTTCATGGCTCTTAAGCTCATTTGACTTGAATTCAGGGATGTTCAAAGGCTTTCTTGGGGAATCTTGAGAAGAGCATTACCACCCTGGATTGTTGAACGGGGGCAAGAAGCATCTCCAGGTGCAAGCCTAAAGTCTATCTATGGTTAAAACTACAGCTTCGCGACAAGTATAACGTTTTCTCAAGTTGTAACATCATGATATTGATACAGCACCATCTTATTCATTTTTATGGTTTATATATGGATTGATATATTGGCATGCAAAATGACTGAAACTTATGTTGTCAATAGTTTTGATATGAAAATTTGGGAGAGGCTCATTTGTTTGGGGCATTGAGATTGGAGAAACATGCAGAATGGACTTTGGGGCTCTCAGAAGAACATTGATAGAGTTTGGAAGAGATTTATGGATAGGAAAGCAGCATGTCCCTATTGC